TTCCCTCTCTCTCTCTCTCTCACCTTTTTGCCTCGCTCGCTCGCTTTCTCTACTTCTATCTTTCTCTCTGTCTCTTTTAATTTCGTCTATAGCTAGCCTCTGACAAAACTAAATTCTGGTAAACGAGAAGCAAGCTATTGAACGCCTTCAATATTGTTCTATCCCTGTCTCATCGTTCTGCGCCATACGGTTTTTTTTTTTTTCTGTTTTAATATATTCCAGTTTAATAGTAAAACTTAGTATATGTATCAGTAACATACGCGTACATGGGACGCACAGGCAAACGTAAGTGAACGACGCGATGACTCCCACCTACGCGTGTGTGTGTGCGCGCGCGCGCGCGTGTGCGCCACGTAGGTATTAAGAATAAAAGATTAGTTTTGTGCTGATGTACAACAGTGTTTCAATGGTAATTCGACTTACATGTATACAGATTATACATACGTACTACGTACGGTTTCGTGAGTACAAAGTGGGGCGCGAGGACCGATACGATTAATCGAGATTTCGCCACCTCGAACGGATAGTTAGATTTACCATTTGTTATTTTTATCGTCGATAAAAAGAAAAGAAGAAAAATATGATCTGTTTTTTAAGAAAGAAAGAAAGAACCGTCTCGTTTGATTACCGGAGCGAAATTTGAATTCTAGGTTCGTTGATTTTTCTATCGGAATGATCGATAAATCTCTTCGTATTTGGTATCGAAGAGAAATATTCCTAGTACACGGTCACCTCGTAAGTTCGTGTCGGATGCGAAAAATAATATAATAAAAATTCAAGGAAAAATCCATAACGACGACGTAATGGTCTAACGAAAAAAAAAAAAAAAAAAAAAAATAGAAGAAAGTTACGGAACGACTAGTCTCGTATGTTCTTTTTCTGTTTTTATTAAATTTGAAGTTTTGTTAAAAATATCGATCTAAATTATAAAATTCGATAGAAACTTATGGGACAATCTAATTATACTATTCTTCGTGTGAAAGAATCGTTCGCGTTTGGAACGAAGCTCGAGGAAATCGTGATCGTTCTCGCGGATCACTTTGTACGAAACGATGCAGAGATACATATCGTCCACGATGGATAAATTTACAAATATATTTATGGAGTTAATGAGAGTTTCAGCGATATTAGTCCCATAGTAAGTTGGCGATAGAAAAAACCTGAATAAGTTCATAAGTATGGATTGAAATAGTCGGCAATTTATGACAAAAAATGTATAATATAGAGTGTAAAATTCTCTCGTAATGTATCTATAATATATATAGATGTATATTTATATATACACGTGGTGTATGCGTAATGTGTACGTGTATACGAAGGATTAGTTTTGTTAAGTTTTATCGTGTACGAAGAGGTACAAAATTTATAGGTATAGAATAGGCTATGAGGTCCGAAAGGCTATCTAATTCGTTCGATTTGCGCTAACGATCCCGTTAGTCGTAAATATCGCGAGGTTTACCATTTCTGTCGGAACTAATATGAACATATACATATATCATTGATTAAAGATCAACATTTACATGAACTTCCGTATTTCAAAGGAGAGCATATACTGCCATTACAATTACATTGGTAATGTGTAAAATGAGTATTATGAGAAAAGAAAGGTTCATTTTCTGAAAATTTTGTTAATATCCTGTCATAAAAATAATTTTCTTTTGTTTTTTCTTTTTTTTTGCTCTTTTTCTTCGTTTTTCCGATCTCATCGCTTTCACTACATTTTTCTTGTATTCTCCAATGTTCTACTAGAACGACATTAATACAGTTCCGACTGAATGGTAACGTACAGTTGCCGGAAGCGACATAGTTTGAGGTCGTAAATTAAAGCATTAAGCAGCGACATTGATTAATACAGCCTCACCCAGGATCGTGTGTCATTTGTGAATTGATATTTAAAATTTCTCCTTGCAATCTTTCGTTTAAACCTCGCGTAGGCAAATTCTTCTTTAACAATTTTCAGGTATTCCTGTGAAAGTATCGTAAAATCCCCACTTTCTAGACAATCCGATATACGTTTCCAAAATAAACATTCACGCAAACAATGTTAAATATTAAAGCTTGAAAGAACGGTGAAAATTTTCGTTGCCTGCACAAGGATTAAACTACGCAGTTTTAATTTCCGTGATATTGGTAAAAATTAATCTGCAACTGTCTACGATTGAAACGCAGACAAATTTTTCCAATATACAACAGGGGCCCTTATAACGCTGGAAATGTAATACAAATCAAGTTCCATCGACGTCACTTTTTGGGTCAAATTTAATTAACCCAAAATTCCAAATTCAGAATTTCTACGCTCTGTTTCATCTTCGATCGCGTTGTACAGGGTCCTGCTGTACCACAATGGAAGAATCAATTCTGAATCGACGTCGAAGGACCCTATGCGGGGCTCGACCCTCATCATCTCCCTCGAATTGCTGTTTTCGCGCTTGGATCACGTGTACTACAACGTTTCACAAGATTTCACGACCTCGCCGTATCGCTTCCACCGGCTGTACGTTCAATTACATCAGGAATAATCGAGCATCACGGTGATCTCGAACGCCCAATGGGAATCGCAATGGAGCAAATTTTAGCGATCAAGTCGACGCAACGATTCTTTTCATGATTAAACACTACCGCGGTTGTACGAACAAACGGCAGCAGATTTTGCATCGACCCTGCATTGTATGAAGATTGTATAATTCAGCCGTGTGTCAAGAGTTTTACTGTCACGAAGTTTCAGGAGTAAGATTTCGCGGAGCATGAAGAGGAGATCTCGGGGGAGAGGGGGAGAGACTGTGACGATATCTTCGTCGAAATTTGAGACGTAAAGAATGATTAGACAGGTCGAATTAAAAAAACGAAAAAAAAAAAAAAAGGAAAGGAATAGGTAGGAGTGAAGAGTTTTCGAAGGGAGTTGATCGTTAACAGCGAAAGAAGAAATATGTTTGAGGAGCGAGATCCAATCAATCGTCCATGTTTCGAAGAGAATGCTCTGCACGTCGAGTACGTCGTTAATAAACTCTGTACAAACATTAACAGTCCATTGGGAACAACAACATTTACATCTCGATGAAACTCCGGATAAAGAGTTCTCATCGTCCATAAATTTCTTCGACGTCGCAATCAAACGTCTTTTTTTTTTTTTCTACTTTTCTCCTTTTCAGTTTTTCTCTGTTTTTGTCTTCGTTTTCCTTTCTTTTCTTCTTAGACACCGAATGTTCGTGTTCACCGGTTGTTCGACGAACAACGAGGAAGATTACTTACATCGATACGCCGGTATGAGAGAAAATGATAATTGTTACAAGGATGAAACAAAGGACGAGCAGGTTTTTCTTTTCCGTAAGTGTCCATAGAAACGATAGATATATATATGTATATATAATTGCGGCGTTAAAGCGGTAATGATGTTGTTTCGACGTGAAGAAAAGCGAGCTTCGTTTTTTCTTGAAAATGAAAATAATAATACTGAAATTGACATATATATTTATATATATATATTTATGTGATCCTGATGGTAGAGTTTCTGTACACGTAAGGAAGGTTCGATTTAAAAGCTTGCTTTACGCGTTATTTTACACACGCAATGTAAGAAGATCCACACGTGTAAATGAAACCATCGTTAAATCTTTTGCAAACTGATTGATATTTTGCTCGGTTTTCATCGCGTTTACATCGTTTCGTATGCAATTCACCTAATTCGTCCCAACGAATGCGAATGAAACGAATAAAGGATAAAGTGCTATTATTTCATTGGCACTGACACGTCCTGTCAGCCGTATATAAAATATCGATACAAATATTTGAGCCTCGTATTTGGTGAATCTTGTGATCTTGTCACACAATGTCCGTTCGAACCTTCCTCGTGGAGGGACACGATATGAACGACGTTACGGATTCCATTTAGAACCTAGAACGATTTGTGCCTGACGATGTTTTTTTCTTTTTTTTTTCTTTTTTTCTTTTTGATATCGATATATCAGTCTGAAATGATTGATACCAGCTCCGTGCTTTCTTTCTTTCTTTTTTTGATTCTTGATCGATTTTTTCACTGGTTAGTCTGTTTCCATCGCTTCTCTCGAGAAGTTATAGATAATACACTCAGTGGCGGCTCGTTCATAAGGGCTGCAACCCTTTTAATGTAAAATGAAAGTTCCTGTTTTATTGTCGATGAAAATTAAAATTGTTCAAAATGTCGATATTTTCAATTTATTTGAAAATCTTCGAAATCGGCGATGCACTTAGTTTTCTAAATAAATTAACTTTAGTTTTGTTGTGAAATGACTTTGAACTTTTATGAAAGTTTCTGTTTCATTATGGATCAAAATTGAAATTGTTCAAAATGTCGATATTTTCAATTTATTTGAAAATCTTCGAAATCGGCGATGCACTTAGTTTTCTAAATAAATTACCTTTAGCTTTGTTATGAAATGGCTTTGAAGTTTCATGAAAGTTCCTATTTTACCATCGATCAAAATTAAAATTGTTCAAAAAGTCGATTTTTGCAACTTATTTAAAAATCGTCGAAATCGCTGTTTTCTAAATAAATTATCTTTAGTTTTATTAATGATATAACTTTTTCAATTCAGTTAGATCTTTTTTACTTTTATCGCTACAGCTTCAATCGCTAAAAGTTCTTACGAGCCGCCACTGAATACGCGAATTATACTTCCGGTGGGCATACTTCAATCACGGAGCCGTTATTTTGAACCTTATCATTAAATGAAAACAACACATCATGCATATCCATTTAGTACATGTACAATAGGATACGAGCTTGACATTGAGATTTTTTTTTTTTTCTTACACCATCGAATCAGAAACGTTGAATCGTAGCTTTTGTTGGATTATCATCTTCTACTTGCAGCAACAGTGTCGCAACAGACACGTCGGTACACGAGGGGGTGTGGTTTGTTTGTTACAGTACAGAGGAGAACGGTTAAATATATTTAGAATGCTGGACATTCAGAAAAAGGTACTTACGAAGTAATCGCAACGTGAATAGAAAAATCTTTCGCTTGAGGCCTTAAAATGTGTCAGCACCCTGTAATTCACGAATTTACAATGTTCTCAACGAATTGAAAACACGATTGTTTCATTCTTCTTTTTTCCTCCTTTGCTTTTTTTTTTCATTAAGTCAACCAACCTAACAACGAAACTCTTTAGATTCTCTTCTCTTTTTCTTCCTTTGTTCTCTCTTTATGGAAAATTGTCTATTAACGAGAACCGTATGCTATTGGGCCGTTCTGAAAGTATTCGCGAAGATTTGAACCGTTCACTTTGAAAGAAAGTCACTCTTGTTAAATTGAATATCTTTTTCCTTAATAAACACTATATTTAAAAAAAGATTTTTTAACGCGAATTGGAATGAGTTTCAATTATTTTGATTTTATAGATCTCTACTTTTACCCTTTGTTAAATTAAATTTATTGAAAAACATTTTTTAACGCGAATTGGAACGAGTTTCAATTATTTTGATTTTATAGATCTCTACTTTTACCCTTTGTTAAATTAAATTTATTGAAAAACATTTTTTAACGCGAATTGGAACGAGTCTCAATTATTTTGATTTTATAGATCTCTACTTTTACCCTTTGTTAAATAAAATTTATTGAAAAACATTTTTTAACGCGAATTGGAACGAGTTTCAATTATTTTCATTTTATAGATCTCTACTTTTACCCTTTGTTAAGTTAAATTTATTGAAAAACATTTTTTAACGCGAATTGGAACGAGTTTCAATTATTTTCATTTTATAGATCTCTACTTTTACCCTTTGTTAAGTTAAATTTATTGAAAAACATTTTTTAACGCGAATTGGAACGAGTTTCAATTATTTTCATTTTATAGATCTCTACTTTTACGCTTTTACTAAATTTAATTTATCGAACAGAACGATGTTTAATATGAATAAAAATACAGTGTTTTGATGAAGTTTTGTTACTTTTTCCTTTTCAAGGAAACGATTCGAAAAGTTTCAGTGAACAATTTCAGAATGGTCCAATTATTATCATTAAGTTACGTAACGATACCGTTCTCCAAGTATACTTTAAATCGGTACAGATTTTCGTTCCTACATTGCCATCCCTTACATTCTGGCGTGTTCCCTTTATTTTCTAAGCGGATGCCACATCGCGACAGGCCGTCTCAGGGCTGCC